CTTGCTTGCTTGCTTGCTTGCTAGCTTGCTAGCTTGCCAGCTTGCTGCATTGCAAGCATTTCCAAAGGATGAACATGGCGACCTGAATCAGGACTCTCAAGAAATGTGATGAAGAAGCGGCTGGAAGTCATCAATGTGGGACAATGCAAACGAGTCCGCAGTGTGGGTTGGAATCTGATGGACTGACTCAAAATCACAAACCAAGCTTTTGGGCGCTGACTTCACATTCCTCCAAAGATGGACTAGTAGCAAACAGCCACAAAAGCCAAAAGCCACAAAAGCCACAGAAGCCACGAAAGCCAAAGACCACAAAAGCCACAGAGGCCACGAAAGCCACAAAAGCCAGAAGCCACAGAAGCCACGAAAGCCACGAAGCCACAGAAGCCACGAAAGCCACAAAAGCCACAGAAGCCACGAAAGCCACGAAGCCACAGAAGCCACGAAAGCCACGAAAAACAAGAAAAAATCCTTACAAAAAACACAAAAAAAACATAAATTAAATGGCCCTCCGCATTCGGATCAGCCAGGATCACCTTCCAAAGCGAAAAAAAACGATGACGAACCGTTATTCAGTCAAATGGCTTTGTATTTGGACTATAGGGAAACGACCCACTGGAGACCCGCCCCTGGCAGGGTAGTAGACTGGTCTAGAGTCTATATGTTCCTTCTTCCGGTGGTCGAGCGGTGGTCGGCCGGTCTCCACTCTAACACGTGTCTGGACGTGTGGAGAAGGTTCTTCGGATCGGCCCCTGCTTCCGGGCTTCCAAATCCTCCAGAAGGAAGTGCCCGGTCTCCAGGCCATCTCGCCCCACCACGCGACTCTTGACACGATAGTGACCACAGCCGTCATTGGCAGAAGGTTCAGCGGACAAGTGCGGGACGCATTTGCCTCGGTTTTCAGATGAGTCAGATTAATCCCTCTCCTCGAAACGAATCAGGTTGAGGAAATGACGAGCCATTCAGACAAAAAAAGGCAGTCAACCTTGGCAAACATATAGGCATGCAAAGACCTGGCGCGCCAGCGCGCTGGCGGTGCTAAGACTCTTCCCTCCCGAAATCATGGATCCAACATGATCCAAGACAGTCCATGGAAACTACACTCCCTTCGGGTGTGCCTTCGGGTCTCCGTTTTGCCAAGAGGCAACTCGAGAGATTGCCGAGGCGTTGACCGTGTGTTTCACAGCGGTGGAATTGGCAGGAGCGAAAGAGATTTGCACATTTCCTTGAATATGTTGATTCGGAGCTGGAAACAGTTTAAAAAAGTCAGGGGATTCACCCATAGGGAAAATTTTGCCAATCACCTTAAGCAAAACCAGGTTTCAATGCATAGCTTGGATAAGTATCCACTGTGATCTTGCGCCATTCCTTGTGGACGGCGCAACTCTAGAACCGCAGCAGCGAACCACGGCAAAGGTTTGAAAACGTCACGTTTCCTCGTTTCGCATTCAAAACGAGTACACTCGGACTCACCACCATGGAAGTGGTGGCATGGCCCCTGTACAATCCTTGACAGGAAAACATTTGATCATTATTCCACTCAAAACATGTTGATGAATCAGAGTGCAATAACTTCTTGCCCAAAGGTGCGAAGGAGCCAAAAAGGCCATTGTATTCCTTGCCTGCCTCCTGACATTTCAGCTTCCATTGGCAGGTCCAACGAGTCCAAGACAAGGGAGCCTTTCTTGAAGGAATTCAAGGGTGGGTGTGGTTAGGCCCAAAACATGTAGGGTATATCTCACTACCAGTAAGAGTGCACTAGTGGATGAGGATGAGGATGAGGATGAGGATGAGGATGAGGATGAGGATGCGGATGAGGATGAGGATGATGAGGAGGAGGAGGAGGAGGAGGAGGAGGAGGATGATGCTTAGATTGCAAACCCTTTCCTTTCCTTCCCCCCCAAAATAGCGATCGTCTTGGACCAACGGCTAGTAAGAATGCGGTTCTAACATGTTCTAACAAATATTTGGTCCCGGCAGCATGGCAGCGTGGTCCACATCTGAACGAATGCACCGCACGTTCTCGTCGGTCCTGGTTGTGCCAGTCGGGGAAGGTCTGAGGAATTCCAGTGGCTTGTGTCATGTTGGACACGGCCAAATAGCCTTGAATGGCCGTGATGATCAAGAAGATCAACACCAGTGGATATTTGAACCTCGGCTCGGACGCACATGGTTAAAAGGCGCGTCCATGGTTAAAAAGGATTAAAATTAACGCACATTTGTGCAACCGGATCTTCCAAAATCATTCAACATCTCCTTTTCCTATCTCTTGCTTTGCATTTCTTCAAAACATATGGAAATCCATACGGAAAAATGTTTCGATTGTTTCCCACCACGCATTGGTCAACCCCTGCCAGCGACCTTTTGAATTGGATTCGAGTAACCTTTCGATGAACGTGGCCATGTAGTCGCCCAAGCAGCTGCCTTGAGCCGCTCCCACGCCTTTCTTCTCCGGATCCAAGGCTTCAGCCAACATCACCATGCCTCATCAGTCCAAGGCGCCCTCATCAGTCGTGCACCGTTTTCGTTATTGTGTTTATACAGACCGGGGGGGTCGGGTTACAGAAGGATTCATTCTTCATATGTCTGAGGTGTTCTTCAGGTATTTTCAGGAAGGAACACCATGCTTACACGACCCTGACAGAGTGACATGGAAGTCGACAATTCACTTCTTGGAAAGAACACTGGGAAGACTTGATTGTTTCTCTCTCCACACAAAGCATTTTCCTTCCACTTCCATGGGAGGTAAGTTGAAAACGGATCCGTTTTGCTTGCCCAGTGGCTCTTGCGCTGGGCTGAACGAGCTACCGACACACGCCGCGGAGCCGGCTTCGCTTGTGCTAAAATGCATCGCCTGCAAAGGTGGACGTCCAGTGGATGATTGACATGATTGGATGAGTGTTCTAGTAGAGTAGTGTCACAAAGCCTTTCAGGGGAAGTTGTTTGTACCCGAAAAGCATCCTTGGACTCCGAACTGGAGAATCGAACTGACCCGAAGCTTTTCAGGTCACTTAGGACCCGAAGCAAAACCCTCACCGGCGGCCTTCGGGTCCTTGATTTCCTAAAGCAAAAGCCCTTCGACACGGGAACGAAACACGGGAACGAAGCTCTTCGCTCTCTGGATTTTTCCCCAGGCCTGCAGCAAGTGTGCAAACGCTCACCAAGAACCAACGTGGATGGATAGGCGAGGAAAACGATCAGCCACGCTAGTGTGACCTTAAGGTTGCTGGGACAAGAAGAAATACCGGTGGTTGCCTCTCCCTGTATTTCTGAGCGAATGATTATATACCTGGTGACTATAATGGGAAAACCGTTCCCAAATGGACAACCAACGAAATAGTTACCATAAATCTTCCACCGTTCGACGCTGTTTAGTTCTTGGTCGCCGCTGCTGTTGTATTTTCCATCCAGAGACTCAAACCAAACCTGAAGAATCCTAAGAATTCCTCCCCATGCTGAGGACACTCCTGACTCCTTCCTGAATTATTTAGAAAGACGGTTGTCACCCGTAATTAGGTCTGAATGAGCACCCTCTATATCTATCCGCTCTTTCCTGAGGGCGCTCAATCATTCCAATAACCCTAAACGCCCTAAACCCATCGGTCATTGTGAACCCCTTGGGCTCCAGACACAAATGCCCATGAAGAAGCCGAATTCTCTGAGAGGTCGCAAGACCGAGGCCAAGTTGGCGAAGAACGACATGGCCGTGGTAAAGGTGGTGGCAGCGGTGGAAGAGGCCGCCTGAAGTGACGACCGTGGCCGCCCTGTGAAGTTGATAAGCTATGCCGCGATCAGCCCGTGCAGTCTTGGAACTAGTCATAAGATGTGTTAATCTCCGAGTTAGCGTCTGATTAAAGCTGAGGAGGTGAGTACAAGCTGAGTAATTACCTGATGTTGCAAAGGTTTTCAACTCAGAGTGTCACAGGTTCAAAGCAAAGGGTGTGGGTATTTCTGCATTCGTCCTGCCTGGAGGTATGTGAATTTCAGCCTGTCGACTGGCTCTCTGGAGAACTTCCTCAGCAAAGTTCGAGCTGTTCCAGCACAATCTGAAGATCTATACAAACATATACAGGACATGATAGCTTGTTGGAACAAAGCAAACATTTGCCTTTGGGATCTTCGGACATAGTCTAAATCGACATGTCCTTGCTTCACCCGTTCATGAAGTGCAACTTTGCTAGTCAGTTGCTAAGAGGCAAGGATTGCTTGTAGAAGTCCGTGTAGACAAAGAGCATGTCGGAGCCCACACCCACGACAATGAAGACCGAGAGACACATCATCAACGAGATCTCTCCGCTACCGCTGGTGAGAATGAAAATTGCCAAAGCCGCGGGGATGGATAACATCACGAGGAACAGTCCCACCATGGCCAGGAAAGGGCTTCGCGTGTGCAAGGTGGCATAGATCAGCACAAAAGAATAGGACATGATGGCCTCAGCTGGATCTTGTGATTCTTCGGGGCATGCGATCATGTGTAACTGTTAGCAATTCAAAGCATATATGTTGTACTTCCCTCCTTTATCAAGCTCTTATTTGTTATTTATCAAGTTCCCTAGAAAACCAAGTCTATCCCATGAAGGCATAACTCTTCAATACTCGTCCAGCCACAAACTTGATATCACTGGCGACCGCTGCCAAGCTCTCGAAGGTGTCGATACCATTGCCCTGATAGAACACTCGAACTTGTCCCAATTGGTTCTTCTCGTTCACCAGGGTGACCAAATCAGCCACCTCAGTTTCACATTCGGACTCCGATTCTTCTCAAGTAAGCTTGACCGATGGGCGCCCATTCAGGAGATTGGCCGACCACTGGCCGAGACCCCGCGGGGTCGTGGCGTGTCACGAAAAAGGTAGGGTCGGCATTCCGGAGAGGAAGCCTGAGAAACGGCGACCACAACTGAGGGTCGGCACGCACGCATGCCACCGACGCATGCGCACGCCTGACGCGTCAGGCGTGCACAGTGGGGGGATTGCACTTGGTCCAAGGCACAAAGCGATTCCAAGTGCTGTCCATCTCCTGCACTCTTGCGCCTTGACCGCTTTGGCCTTGCCAAACAAAACAGCCCTCAAACAGCCCCAGACTTATCCCAGACGTCTTTGTCACTCCACGCATCTCATTTTGTTGACTCCTAGGACTGGCCAAACTATCCGATCATTCCGTGGACGAAGCAACAAACCTTGAACTCACACCGAGATTCATACAATTAAGGAGGAAGAAATCCGACAGTACACAACCCAGCAATTTAGATATCGATCAGCAAATTCAGCTCATGTTGTGCTATAGTATGATTGACCTTGAAAAGAAAGACCAAATGCGACACGATCATACTCAGCCTGAAGTGCAGCAAAACGCTTGCAGTGTGAAGTAGGATCTCATGGCATTGACCTCCTCAGCCACTGCGGCTGACACTTCGGCCTGGAACAAATGGTTGAAACTTCGAAACACACATCTCTGAAACTAGTCAACGGATTCTCGGATGTTAAAGGTATGTACATATATAGATCCTATATGATCCTATACAACTCAAGATTCTTCTATCAGCTTCTTTCCCTTCGTTTAGATAAGATATGGCCTCCAACCGACTAGCGATGGCCTCCAACCAAATTGAGGCCTCCTTCATTGTTGCTTCCTCACTCGAATCGTCTCTCCCACTCGAGGCCTCCGGCACCGCTTTGTCACAAATGCCACAGGTAGCTTTGCAGAAGTCCTGCTGCGCAGTAAACGCAGACCGCGTTTCACCGCAGGGTCTCCTCGCCCTGGAAGTTCCATTGCGTGGAAGGAGCAGTCTTTTTAAACAGGCACGTGTTATCACCATGTTTTTGTTGTTGGACGTTTCTGACAATCTGATGTTATTTATTTTCTTTAATCTGCAAAGAAATCCAAAGCTTCACATGATACTCCCAGATACAATTACCAACTCGGGCCATCTCCTGCATGTAGGCCTGATGCTCTGCACCTGCAACGCAGTCCAGTTTATTGGACATCTTACTTTCTCACTTGCAGTCCGGAAAAAGAAAAAAAACATACAGTACCCAGAGGTTAGAAAACACAGTTTCCAATTGCAAATCCCAAAAAGAAACAATGAGGTTTCTTTCATGTTTGTTAGGTTGATCTGTACACGTTATGTACACGTCGTTGCGCCTTGAAGACATTGATCCTTCCACGTCGCGCAGTTGGAAATCACATCGCCACAAGCTCTCACACCCACGATTTGCACCTGAACGGCTGTGAACTCCTAGGGGTTCATAGTCTTCAACAAACGCAAAGGCCAGGATTCCTAGTAGTAAGGCCAGGAGCCCCGTTCGTAGCGTCCGACCGCTCCCTTCGTGCCGATGCCCTTTGTTCCTAGTAGCGTCCAGGACCTTCAGTTCGTGACCGAACTTGAGATCCCAGTGGCGGGTCGGTCACGATTTGTCCCTCTTCAGAGGTTACTTACAGACTCCAAAGAGGTCACGAACTGAAGGTCCTAGTTGACAGTTTCCCCAGCACTAAACCCTCAGACTCAAACCAAGCTGAAAGAAAATCAAATGACACATGTATGTTTTCGTCGTTCAATTGACTCGCTCACTGTGGGAACTTTTAGGCTGCTTTTGAATGTACATCTAGAACATGATCCTGCCGCCATCCTAAGCCCTTGCCATGGTTCCACCCCCTAAAAATAAATGTTTTTGTTTGTACTAACAAATCCCCCAACAGGAAAAACACACAAAAAAAAAACAAAAACAAAGTACCTGCTTGTGAAAGCCCCAAACATATCTCCAACACGTGATAAATCCTTTCTTTCGACTCCCCCAGCTTAGGACCCTCCTTTCCATCCACTCACCGTTTCGATTTCACGCCTCGCTGCCGACCTCCTCGGGCCACACGACGTCCGTGAGCCCCTCCTGGCCGCGACGGCCGCCCGCGTACCCACAGGCGAAGAGACCGGCGGAGGAATCGTCCGGAAGGGTCGGTGCAGAAAGAGCGTCTTCTTTTTGGAGTCCAGGAGGACTGTGGAAGTGATCTTTTTGGAAGTGATCTATCTCTTTTTGTTAAGGGGCCACTAAAAGAGCGTCAAGTCGATGTCGGTCTATGTTTCTGGTCATTTTGAGGGTTTAGTGCTGCCTCAGTGTTTGGAAGTTGTTGCGAAATTGCACTTTGGTCGTTTTCGAGTTAGTTCAGATTCTGGCAGCTTTGTCGATTCAAGTCGTTCGATGATGTTTGACGTCCAAATACTCCCCTGCAAAGGACCACATGGAACCCTCAAAGCTACGGGGTTGGTACATATAGAAAAAATATCGGAAATGGCCAGAACCACATGCTTTTCTTCTCAGGTTCCATGTCAGTGTGCCAGGGGTGTATGTTCTTTCTGAAAGGATGTTTTGTTTTCGTTTTATCCAGCCTCTCGAGCGAGGGCCACGGCCACCGCCAAAGGCACCGCGCTCGTGCCGCTGCCGTTGAGGTAGAGTCCTCAGGTGTGCATATAATCATTCACCCAGTCAAGGCCTCTTCAGTCTATGGATGTCACAATAAAGGGATCGATGTCCTTTGGTATTCGGATGAATTTCATGGTGATCCAAAGTCAGGGGCGATGTCATCCACATGACGTAACCATGATGATGATTTCAGGGATTGTATGCCATGAGTATGCAACAAAAATACATAGTAAAACAATATCCCCATGTTTTTGATTGTTTTTTCATGTTGTTTCATTCTGAATGACCGATTTGCTCAGAGGTCTTCCAGAACCGTCATCTTCATTCGCTGTGACAGGACTCGATCTGACGAAGCCAAGTGGCGCGCGTCCGCGCCGTCAGGCACTTGGAAAGGGAACACGAAATTGGCCATTGAGATCCCAGGATTGCAGTGATTCAAGAACTTCCTGAGTCAGTTCACCCTCTTCTCTTCACCCTCTCTTCATTCTCCAAAATGCCCAAAACTTTGGGAGAACATGTCAACAAAAATCAAGCCGTCGCTTGCAATCTTGTGGAGATACACTTTTTTGCTTACCAGACTAAGTGATATATACTAAGTGGACAAACCGATGGTTAGAGTAGAGAGGCAGGGAGAGAAACAGTCTAGCCATTCAAGCAGGCCCGCTCAAGAAGCCTTGCTGTGCTTTCACAAAACCATCCAAAAGATGTCGCAGTTTCAGCTTAAGCATCATGTCTGATTCTATTCCTCCACAAGTTCGGGGGTAAGCTAGTAGTAACAAGTGCATCGCTAGTAGTAACAAGTGCCTTACTAATAGTAACAAGAAACTAGTAGTAACAAGTGCATCGTTAGTAGTAACAAGTGCCTTCCTAATAGTAACAAGAAGGCTTAAGCATCATTTTGGATTCTATTCCTCCACAAGTTCGGGGGTGGGTCTTCTTCTGCGTCTTTCTCTTTGTTCTCCTTTGCTTTGGGCCGCACTTTGCCAAACAAGTTGCGGCTCCGACGTGTCACAAAGTAGTCGAAAGTCCGGCAAAGACTTGACCGCTGCCTCGACACTCCTGCAACAAAGGCAACTGAGCAGGCATGCTGTTCAAGGATGTGAGGGTATTGTCCTCCATCTCAGGTTCGCTTAAGAACTGAGAACACTTCAAAATCAGAAGCATATAGGAAGTGGACACTGTCACAACACGCGCCTGATGAACGCGAAATCTCCTTCACTCATCATGTTGCCTGCAAAGGGCTGCAGCCTAAACCCTCATATTTCTGCCTCCACACATCTTCAAACATATTTGGGTGTGCTACCGTGCTACCTGGGTTGACCAAAGAACATGAAGAGCATGGAAGACCTACAGAAGGTCGCTGAGCAATGGCAACCATCAAATATATTGTTGTGAAAAAAACAAATGAACATGCAAAAGCAACGCAATTTTGTTGCTTTTGCCTGGTACCAATTCTGCACATATGAGAACTTTTGCCCGTCAGCAATATGCACTGTACGAAAAAAATATGAAAACAATGCAAAACAACATGCGAACATAAAGCGAACAAACATGTGAAATAAAGCGGAAAAATCTTTTTCTAAAAGATGAACTTTTTCCCGAATGCGTAGCGAAGGGTTCTCGTCTAACTCTGGGGGTCTGGGGGTAGAGCCTTGTTCGCGACCCGTTGTTTCTATGTTCGCAACCGTCCGCAACCGTTCGCAGGTGTTCGCAACCGTTGGCAGTAGAACGCTAAGGCGCTGCCATTGGGGGAAGCTTTTGCAAGTGACTTTTCATGGATGTGTCACGTGCCAGTTTGCGACGCTATTCCATTGTGATTTGCATGAAAATGATATGTCGCGCAAGAAGCGTGATGCATTTCGCTGCATAGGAGCAGCGTTTTGTGAGATCCGCAGTTTGCTACGCAGCTCCATTGGGATTAGCGGGCGTTTGGAGAGTCGTGTTTTTGAGGTGTTGGACGTGGCCGTGCCATTGGGATTTGCGTTTCAGGGTGTGGCACCGAAGCTCTGTTTTCGTGACCAGTCTCAGCTGAAATGGCGATTTTGGTGGATGGGAGTGTTCTCAGAACGGGTCGAAATCATTCCAAACGTGTGGTGTGGTGCAAATTTTGTGCAAGCTGACATGAGATGATATTGTCACTTTTCGTGGCAGGCGCAGTACTTTGTGTGGGTTTTGAGGCGTGGAAGTGCGATTCTCGTGGGAATGGTGAGGTTGCGAGGTGTGACGGAGGTGACATTTCGTGGCAGGCGCAGTACTTTGTGCGCGTTAGACGTGTGGATGCGGAAAGATTCGTTGCAGGCGCAGGGAATTGTGAGGTCGTGAGTTGTGGTAGAGGTGAATGTCGCTGTCACAGTGGGATTGGCGTGTGAACGGGTGTTGTTTGGAGGGGCTGGACTCGCGAAACTGCTTGGCAGGGCTGCGTGATGTGTGTGCTCCGATGGGTGAAATGCTCGTTTTGCAGACTTTGACATGTGAGTTTTGGAGGAAATCTCGAACGAAACGCTCGTTTTGGAGACTTGACACGTGACTTTTGGAGGAAGTCTCGACGAAACGCTCGTTTTGGAGACTTGACATGTGACTTTTGGAGGAAGTCTCGAACGAAACGCTCGTTTTTGGAGACTTGATGTGTGACTTTTGGAGGAAGTCTCGTACAAAGAGTGCCCTACAAGAGTGTCCCGCAAGAGTGTCCTACAAGAGTGTCCCACAAGAGTGTCCTACAAGAATACCCCACAAGAGTTTCGTACAAGAGTGTCCCACAAGAGTGTCCCTTATAAGAGTGTCCTATAAGAGTGTCCCACAAGAGTGTCCTACAAGAGTGTCCCACAAGAGTTTCCTACAAGAGTGTCCCACAAGAGTGTCCCACAAGGGTGTCCCACAAGAGTGTCCTACAGGAGTGTCCCACAAGAGTGTCCTACAAGAGTGTCCCACAAGAGTGTCCTACAAGAGTATCCCACAAGAGTTTCCTAC